CTCATATACATATTGATTATTTTGTTTGCAAAATTAAACGCTGACTGCACTATCTTCACGACAGGCTGGTCGGGCAAATGTGATTTGTTCGTTGTGTTGTTTGTTTCGAATATGTAGTAAAGAGAAGATGCCTATTATTCTACGATCAAAACCCAGACTCATGATCACCTAGTAGCCAACATAAAAATCTTACCTGTATACTATTAAACTGCTTAATGTTGGAGAAAAAAGACTGGCTTCTGATTGATGAAAATTTCGTTCAATTGCGATCATACTTTATTAAAATGTGTATTGAGCCCCTGCAAACTGTTGTGTAACCTCTTTTGTCCGCTGATGTCGCCAGACTTATGATAGGTCGGAATTAAAACATTTAGAGGAGTTACATCCCTTACGCTTTCTACAAATAGAACTAAAGCCAGTCAGAAGCCACAATGGCCTTCTTAGGGAAATTTAAAGTAAAATGCACACCTACATGTACACATGCCCATCAATTCTTATGAAAAGTCAGTCAATTGTGTTAGTCAAACCAGATACGTATATACACCTCTGGTCACACCTATTTAGAGTTTGCCTTAGCATTCTTGTCGCCATCTCGAAATGCAATGTATCAAAAATAGAACAAAAGGTACAGGCTGATATGTTACGCCATTCAGACGTAGCTATAGGCTGATATGTTACGCCATTCAGACGTAGGCTGATATGTTACGCCATTCAGACGAAGGCTGATATGTCACGCCATTCAGACGTAGGCTGATATGTTTCGCCATTCATTCAGACGTAGGCTGATATGTTACGCCATTCAGACGTAGGCTGATATGTTACGCCATTCAGACGTAGGCTGATATGTTACGCCATTCAGACGTAGGCTGATATGTTACGCCATTCAGACGTAGGCTGATATGTTACGCCATTCAGACGTAGGCTGATATGTTACGCCATTCAGACGTAGGCTGATATGTTACGCCATTCAGACGTAGGCTGATATGTTACGCCATTCAGACGTAGGCTGATATGTTACGCCATTCAGACGTAGGCTGATATGTTACGCCATTCAGACGTAGGCTGATATGTTACGCCATTCAGACGTAGGCTGATATGTTACGCCATTCAGACGTAGGCTGATATGTTACGCCATTCAGACGTAGGCTGATATGTTACGCCATTCAGACGTAGGCTGATATGTTACGCCATTCAGACGTAGGCTGATATGTTACGCCATTCAGACGTAGGCTGATATGTTACGCCATTCAGACGTAGGCTGATATGTTACGCCATTCAGACGTAGGCTGATATGTTACGCCATTCAGACGTAGGCTGATATGTTACGCCATTCAGACGTAGGCTGATATGTTACGCCATTCAGACGTAGGCTGATATGTTACGCCATTCAGACGTAGGCTGATATGTTACGCCATTCAGACGTAGGCTGATATGTTACGCCATTCAGACGTAGGCTGATATGTTACGCCATTCAGACGTAGGCTGATATGTTACGCCATTCAGACGTAGGCTGATATGTTACGCCATTCAGACGTAGGCTGATATGTTACGCCATTCAGACGTAGGCTGATATGTTACGCCATTCAGACGTAGGCTGATATGTTACGCCATTCAGACGTAGGCTGATATGTTACGCCATTCAGACGTAGGCTGATATGTTACGCCATTCAGACGTAGGCTGATATGTTACGCCATTCAGACGTAGGCTGATATGTCACGCCATTCAGACGTAGGCTGATATGTCACGCCATTCAGACGTAGGCTGATATGTTACGCCATTCAGACGTAGACTGCTGATATGTTAAGATAATCTGAGGCTGCCGACAGCATATATTTGATATCAATTGAAGGTCTAATGTGAATGTTATGAACGTGATGTTAAGGAGCGAAGACCATGTTGTAGATTGTTTAGTTCTTTCTTTGTATCCAAATGTTCATGATTGCATGTGTTTGAGATAAAGGCAACCATATTGGATTTTGACAATTCAAATTTGATATCGAGTGTTATCGAGTTTTCTCAGGAAGGACGTGAGAGATCTTTCTCAGATTTCAAACGTAGGTCCGTCCCCCTTGGTTCTTAGTTGCACATATTTCGTTTTGAGTCTGATCAGAAGAAAAAATGTCCACCAGCCCTCTTTGGGTTTGATAGTTCATATTTGTTTTCGCTATTTACTAAAATATACATGACATACCCTTCTCAAATTTAATATGTAGGTTTACCATTGGTCCTTCAAAGTTTTGTACAGTTAATTTTGGGACTCGTCAAATAAACAATATTGCTGCCAAATTGCCATCTTAAAATTTAAAATTTGAATTTTGTTGTCATAATTTCCCATATTGTACTGGAGGAAATCTCTTGAAATTTCTTTCCGTCCTCCTTGAGTTGGATCTTATAAGTCATTCTGGTTTCATGTCCAGTTTTATCAGATAAAACAAAGTTGGTTACCAAGTAGACATCGTGTTTTGACTGTTAAAGGTTGTAATCGCAAGTTCTCAGAGACTAAATAACGACTCTTCCCCAAATTACATCAGTATTTTGCCTAGTTTAAGGGAAGTTTATATATATAGTGTGAGTCTAACATGCGATATAAGGACATCACACTATAAAATCTAAGATTAAATAAAATAATATAGCGATTGAATTACGTTGACAATATTTGATTGACAGCAGATCTATTTCTTTTTTTTTATCTAAATGAGTGCTAACTTGTAGACTAACACTTGACTCCTATGTTGTCACTATGACGTCAATGGATGACGGGTCACTGTTAATATCGATAGTCTCAACGCTGTGTTTATATCACTACTCCTAACAGTGTTACAATATAATCGCTAACATACCCACACTGTCACACCCAGTTGTTTCACTATTCCATTAGACTTTATCTTATCTTTAGTCCCAGATCTGTTAAACATTGTTAGCTCATTAGTTTACACTGTTACTACTTAGTGAAATCTCCCTAGTCCCTGTTATATATAGTGTACCTATGTGGGACAAACGGACATTTGTTGTGGAGCCTTTAAATTAATACATGTGTGTCGATATTTATTGTGTAATGTGATTATGATTTAGGCAATAAGATGAAGGCTATTTAAATTAATACATGTGTGTCGATATTTATTGTGTAATGTGATTATGATTTAGGCAATAAGATAAAGTCTATTTAAATTCATAGTCAAAGTAAACTATTTTTCAAAGATAGTAACGACACAATGCAACAATAATCGTGTGGCATATCACTTGATTGTAAGACCTGATGATCCGACCATTATATATATCAACAAACGCATATTTTGGCAAGGTATGCCTGTTAGATACCATCTACATGGCCGTGTTCAGCTCTCGACTTGTGTACTGGCGTTTTAAGGTTGTTCAGCTCTCGACTTGTTTTCTGGCGTTTTAAGGTTGTTCAGCTCTCGACTTGTTTTCTGGCGTTTTAAGGTTGTTCAGTTGTTCAGCTCTCGACTTGTGTACTGGAGTTTTAAGGTTGTTCATCTCTCGACTTGTGTACTGGCGTTTTAATGTTGTTCAGCTCTGGACTTGTGTACTGGCGTTTTAAGGCTGTTCAGCTTTCGACTTGTTTTCTGGCGTTTTAAGGTTGTTCAGCTTTCGACTTGTGTACTGGCGTTTTAAGGTAGTTCAGCTCTCGACTTGTGTACTGGCGTTTTAAGGTTGCTCAGCTCTCGAATTGTGTACTGGCGTTTTAAGGTTGTTTAGCTCTCGACTTGTGTACTGGCGTTTTAAGGTTGTTCAGCTCTCGACTTGTGTACTGGCGTTTTAAGGTTGTTCAGCTCTCGACTTGCGTATTGGCGTTTTAAGGTAGTTCAGCTCTCGACTTGTGTACTGGCGTTTTAAGGTTGTTCAGCTCTCGACTTGTGTACTGGCGTTTTAAGGTTGTTCAGCTCTCGACTTCTGTACTGGCGTTTTAAGCATTAACATGATTCCCACTACAAGATTAACTATACATTCACAGAGTTCCACAATAGGACTTAGAGACTAGAAAAGATATTGCTAGTATATGGCTGTGTTTAAAACAGGAATTACAAGAGTGAGGACGTTCATAATATACATTTATATATAGATAGACTAAATCTTTTGAGCCCTACCACCCCCTAAAATGGCCTCGTCATTACCACCCCCTAAAATGGCCTCGTCATTTTGATAAGAATTGTCTAATGTTTAAAAGAAAAATACCCAATAGAGTAGGAACATAAGTAGCTCTTGAAAAAATGTTATCGTTATGCTAATATATATATATATCTGACAAGGACATATGTTAATGCTTCCAGTACGAATACGGGGTTTAAATACCAAACAACGACAGGGATCTTCACAAGAGTCAACAAAACACAGACCAGTTTACTGGTCATTGAGAAGGGCGGTCTGGTTTTCTGTCAACACATTACCGTTATAGTTGACTAAATAAGTATTGAACTTAATGGCGAACTTAATAGTATGCCTTTACAAAACACGTTCCCACCACCTTTACAAAACACGTTCCCACCATGCACATGATAAGGTTAAACCTTCTACCCAACCTCGAACCAACCACCCACCCAACTCCTAAAAAATATACAATAAAATAAAATGAATCCCCAATCAGTCAAGTATTGGTTATTTTTTTCAATGCGCTGGTTTCTGATTTCTCATAATAACAAATGATTTATGAATGTCTACGTTTTATGTTTGGTGAGCACTAGTTTAGTGATGTTTATCAGTCCTTACAAACGAAAAATCATTACCTGTAGCTGTTTCCTCTTCTCTTATAAATCTCACTCTTATAAATCTCAGGTAAGTGTAGTATTTATTATAATGTCTCAAAATGATGTTTCTTAATTAACCTACATTCATACTTCTTTCTTACCTCACGATGATTTTTTTTATCACCTTACAATTATAATACCTGATAATCCCATATCACAAGCCACATGTATAATACCGACCTTATACAATATCTGAAGAGGGTGTGTATTTAAATGTTAAAAAGTGGCTGTGTTAAATACCTAGCTTATTGGACTTTGACGGGTATACGTCGACCACCTTGAGAGCAGTTTAAACCCGGGATAGATTATGGTATCGCTCTAAGTGACCGGTAGCTATGTCCATCGACACGGGTACATGTTGACCATTCGTATGGATTTGGCGGAGCCTGGCTATAATTGTTACTGTATCACATTGTGAAGCGGATAGTTATGTAATCTTCTATCGACCTAAGCGTCCCGAACCCTGACAAGCATGGTGTATGTCACTGTGAGATATGGTGGTAGGTATTTTTTTTGTATACCGTGATCCCTAAACTCTAATACGTCATAAAAAGTACGTCTTACGTGACCAATATTTTGAAGGTATTGAGCATTTGACAACCATCAAACCAATTTTAAAACAGTTTATCTTAATGCTATACTTAAATATTCATTAATATATCAAGATGTATACCATGTAGTGTAAGGATCTAGACTTTGTAGGATATATATTTTTGTTGTTCTCAGTAAAGTTATCCTTCATTTGTGAATGAAATACAGGGAGTCAGAAAGCAACGTATGTCGCAGACCAAGATATACAAGCGAATTCACATTAATGTGTTCCTGTATAATGTGTGTAGTACATAGACGTTAATAGGTCCTGTGCATTAATTGTGCCCAGTACTTAGATAGTCCATGTTCCTATAGGAGGTAGGTAGTATGTAATATAGTTCACGATTATAAGGTGTTTAATGTGCGTTCTAGTTAATAACTCCAATTTATAATAGAAAGTACGTTATTGTTAATTTTTTAGGTCACCTGAGCTTTAGCTCAAGTGACCTATTGCTATCCGTTTTCGTCCGTCGTCGTCCGTCGTCCGTCGTCCGTCGTCATTTTACATTTCAAACTTAAAGTCAAGTTCTGCTGGGCCGATTGAACTGAAAGTTGGTAGGAATGATCGCCTCATGGTCCTGACAAAGTGTTGTTATTTTTCGGGTCGATCAGAAATCCAATATGGCCGCCACGGCCGCCATTTTGAAAACCTATTTCAAACTTAAAGTCAAGTTCTGCTGGACCGATTGAACTGAAAGTTGGTAGGAATGATCGCCTCATGGTCCTGACAAAGTATTTTTTACTCAAATTGGTACATATTTCAACAACAAAAATAAATACTATAGACTCAGGTGACCGTTAAGGCCCATGGGCCTCTTGTTTTTATTTAGAGAATATGTGTATAAGTAACAATTTAAATTTAATAAAATAAGGTGGGAAAGGAAATGGAAAATATACAGAGGTTTAATGAGTCGTTATTATAGCAAGAAGGTAGTACATGTGAATTGAAATAAATGATTTCCTATAAAATCGAGGCGAATTGTATTTCAGTCAATAATATGATATGAGGTGAGTAATGCATAGAGGATCTTACATGAGTGTCCATGTCATAGTGAAATTATGAAACTATCTCAATAGTTTAATATGACACTCGCCTTAATTATAAACGATCTTTATCTATTCAATATGACAAGGAAACGAATATAAGATTCTATTTATCATATAACATTCATAATTTGAAGGAAGAAGGAAAAGAAAAAAAATCAATCACAATAATGTGTTATCAGTTGACTATGAAGATCAAAACCAAAGTACTCCGATCAATAGTATTGTCGTTCCGCGCATTGCAAAGTAGTTCAATATTATTTTAAACCATGAACAGTTTTAAATGAAATGAAATAAACATTTCCAATAAATTTGTTTCAAGTTCACAATTTTGCAGTGGCGAAGATATTTGTTCCCACGGTTTTGACCAATCGTAGCACATTAAGGTTTTATTTCAAGCGTGTATTTCTATATTAATGACATATAATAGGAAGTGTTTTATACATAGTAGTTAATTGTTCTCTGATATCACAGAAGGTGGGTAATACGTTAGTTATAATAGGAGGTGTGTTATACATCGTAGTTAGTTGTTCTCTGATATCATAGAAGGTGTGTTATACGTTAGTTATAATAGGAGGTGTGTTATACATAGTCGTTAGTTGTTCTCTGATATCATAGAAGGTGGCAATACGTTAGTTACAATAGGAGGTGTGTTATACATAGTAGTAAGATGTTCTCTGATATCATAGAAGGTGGCAATACGTTAGTTACAATAGGAGGTGTGTTATAAATAGTAGTAAGATGTTCTCTGATATCATAGAAGGTGGCAATACGTTAGTTATAATAGGATGTGTGTTATACATAGTAGTAAGATGTTCACTGATATCATAGAAGGTGGAAAATACGTTAGTTATAATAGGAGGTGTGTTATACATAGTAGCTAGTTGTTCTCTGATATCATAGAAGGTGTGTTATACGTTAGTTATAATAGGAGGTGTGTTATACATCGTAGTTAGTTGTTCTCTGATATCATAGAAGGTGTGTTATACGTTAGTTATAATAGGAGGGGAGTTATACATAGAAGTTAGTTGTTCTCTGATATCATAGAAGGTGGGTAATACGTTTGTTATAATAGGAGGTGTGTTATACATAGTAGTTAGATGTTCTCTGATATCATAGAAGGTGGGTAATACGTTTGTTATAATAGGAGGTGTGTTATACATAGTAGCTAGTTGTTCTCTGATATCATAGAAGGTGTGTTATACGTTAGTTATAATAGGAGGTGTGTTATACATCGTAGTTAGTTGTTCTCTGATATCATAGAAGGTGTGTTATACGTTAGTTATAATAGGAGGGGTGTTATACATAGTAGTTAGTTGTTCTCTGATATCATAGAAGGTGGGTAATACGTTAGTTATAATAGGAGGTGTGTTATACATAGTAGTTAGTTGTTCTCTGATATCATAGAAGGTGGGCAATACGTTAGTTATAATAGGAGGTGTGTTATACATAGTAGTTAGTTGTTCTCTGATATCATAGAAGGTGGCAATACGTTAGTTATAATAGGATGTGTGTTATACATAGTAGTAAGATGTTCTCTGATATCACAGAAGGTGGGCAATACGTTAGTTATAATAGGATGTGTGTTATACATAGAAGTAAGTTGTTCTCTGATATCATAGAAGGTGGGTAATACATTGGTTATAATAGGATGTGTGTTATACATAGAAGTAAGTTGTTCTCTGATATCATAGAAGGTGGGTAATACGTTAGTTATAATAGGAGGTGTGTTATACATAGTAGTAAGATGTTCTCTGGTATCATAGAAGGTGGGCAATACGTTAGTTATATATAGGAGGTGTGTTAAACATAGTAGTTAGTTGTTCTCTGATATCATAGAAGGTGGGTAATACATTAGTTATAATAGGAGGTGTGTTAAACATTGCAGTTAGTTTTTCTCTGATATCATAGAAGGTGGGCAATACGTTAGTTATAATAGGATGTGTGTTATACATAGTAGTAAGATGTTCTCTGATATCATAGAAGGTGGGTAATACATTAGTTATAATAGGAGGTGTACTGATATCATAGAAGGTGGGCAATACTTTAATTATGATAGGAGGTGTGCTATACATAGTAGTTAGTTGTTCTCTCATATCATAGAAGGTGGCAATACGTTAGTTACAATAGGAGGTGTGTTATACATAGAAGTTAGTTTTTCTCTGATATCATAGAAGGTGGGCAATACGTTAATTATGATAGGAGGGGTGCTATACATAGTAGTTAGTTGTTCTCTGACATCATAGAAGGTGGGCAATTCATTAATTATAATAGGAGGTGTGTTATACATAGTAGTTAGCTGTTCACTGATATCATAGAAGGTGGGCAATACGTTAATTATGATAGGAGGTGTGCTATACATAGTAGTTAGTTGTTCTCTGATATCATAGAAGGTGGCAATACGTTAGTTATAATAGGAGGTGTGTTATACATAGTAGTAAGATGTTCTCTGATATCATAGAAGGTGGGTTATACGTTAGTAATAAAAGGAGGTATGTTATACATAGTAGTTAGTTGTTCTCTGATATCATAGAAGGTGGGTAATACGTTAGTTATAATAGGAGGTGTGTTATACATAGTAGTTAGTTGTTCTCTGATATCATAGAAGGTGGGTAATACGTTAGTTATAATAGGAGGTGTGTTATACATAGTAGTTAGTTGTTCTCTGATATCATAGAAGGTGGGTAATACGTTAGTTATAATAGGAGGTGTGTTATACATAGTAGTTAGTTGTTCTCTGATATCATAGAAGGTGGGTAATACGTTAGTTATAATAGGAGGTGTGTTATACATAGTAGTTAGTTGTTCTCTGATATCATAGAAGGTGGGTAATACGTTAGTTATAATAGGAGGTGTGTTATACATAGTAGTTAGTTGTTCTCTGATATCATAGAAGGTGGGTAATACGTTAGTTATAATAGGAGGTGTGTTATACATAGTAGTTAGTTGTTCTCTGATATCATAGAAGGTGGGTAATACGTTAGTTATAATAGGAGGTGTGTTATACATAGTAGTTAGTTGTTCTCTGATATCATAGAAGGTGGGTAATACGTTAGTTATAATAGGAGGTGTGTTATACATAGTAGTTAGTTGTTCTCTGATATCATAGAAGGTGGGTAATACGTTAGTTATAATAGGAGGTGTGTTATACATAGTAGTTAGTTGTTCTCTGATATCATAGAAGGTGGGTAATACGTTAGTTATAATAGGAGGTGTGTTATACATAGTAGTTAGTTGTTCTCTGATATCATAGAAGGTGGGTAATACGTTAGTTATAATAGGAGGTGTGTTATACATAGTAGTTAGTTGTTCTCTGATATCATAGAAGGTGGGTAATACGTTAGTTATAATAGGAGGTGTGTTATACATAGTAGTTAGTTGTTCTCTGATATCATAGAAGGTGGGTAATACGTTAGTTATAATAGGAGGTGTGTTATACATAGTAGTTAGTTGTTCTCTGATATCATAGAAGGTGGGTAATACGTTAGTTATAATAGGAGGTGTGTTATACATAGTAGTTAGTTGTTCTCTGATATCATAGAAGGTGGGTAATACGTTAGTTATAATAGGAGGTGTGTTATACATAGTAGTTAGTTGTTCTCTGATATCATAGAAGGTGGGTAATACGTTAGTTATAATAGGAGGTGTGTTATACATAGTAGTTAGTTGTTCTCTGATATCATAGAAGGTGGGTAATACGTTAGTTATAATAGGAGGTGTGTTATACATAGTAGTTAGTTGTTCTCTGATATCATAGAAGGTGGGTAATACGTTAGTTATAATAGGAGGTGTGTTATACATAGTAGTTAGTTGTTCTCTGATATCATAGAAGGTGGGTAATACGTTAGTTATAATAGGAGGTGTGTTATACATAGTAGTTAGTTGTTCTCTGATATCATAGAAGGTGGGTAATACGTTAGTTATAATAGGAGGTGTGTTATACATAGTAGTTAGTTGTTCTCTGATATCATAGAAGGTGGGTAATACGTTAGTTATAATAGGAGGTGTGTTATACATAGTAGTTAGTTGTTCTCTGATATCATAGAAGGTGGGTAATACGTTAGTTATAATAGGAGGTGTGTTATACATAGTAGTTAGTTGTTCTCTGATATCATAGAAGGTGGGTAATACGTTAGTTATAATAGGAGGTGTGTTATACATAGTAGTTAGTTGTTCTCTGATATCATAGAAGGTGGGTAATACGTTAGTTATAATAGGAGGTGTGTTATACATAGTAGTTAGTTGTTCTCTGATATCATAGAAGGTGGGTAATACGTTAGTTATAATAGGAGGTGTGTTATACATAGTAGTTAGTTGTTCTCTGATATCATAGAAGGTGGGTAATACGTTAGTTATAATAGGAGGTGTGTTATACATAGTAGTTAGTTGTTCTCTGATATCATAGAAGGTGGGTAATACGTTAGTTATAATAGGAGGTGTGTTATACATAGTAGTTAGTTGTTCTCTGATATCATAGAAGGTGGGTAATACGTTAGTTATAATAGGAGGTGTGTTATACATAGTAGTTAGTTGTTCTCTGATATCATAGAAGGTGGGTAATACGTTAGTTATAATAGGAGGTGTGTTATACATAGTAGTTAGTTGTTCTCTGATATCATAGAAGGTGGGTAATACGTTAGTTATAATAGGAGGTGTGTTATACATAGTAGTTAGTTGTTCTCTGATATCATAGAAGGTGGGTAATACGTTAGTTATAATAGGAGGTGTGTTATACATAGTAGTTAGTTGTTCTCTGATATCATAGAAGGTGGGTAATACGTTAGTTATAATAGGAGGTGTGTTATACATAGTAGTTAGTTGTTCTCTGATATCATAGAAGGTGGGTAATACGTTAGTTATAATAGGAGGTGTGTTATACATAGTAGTTAGTTGTTCTCTGATATCATAGAAGGTGGGTAATACGTTAGTTATAATAGGAGGTGTGTTATACATAGTAGTTAGTTGTTCTCTGATATCATAGAAGGTGGGTAATACGTTAGTTATAATAGGAGGTGTGTTATACATAGTAGTTAGTTGTTCTCTGATATCATAGAAGGTGGGTAATACGTTAGTTATAATAGGAGGTGTGTTATACATAGTAGTTAGTTGTTCTCTGATATCATAGAAGGTGGGTAATACGTTAGTTATAATAGGAGGTGTGTTATACATAGTAGTTAGTTGTTCTCTGATATCATAGAAGGTGGGTAATACGTTAGTTATAATAGGAGGTGTGTTATACATAGTAGTTAGTTGTTCTCTGATATCATAGAAGGTGGGTAATACGTTAGTTATAATAGGAGGTGTGTTATACATAGTAGTTAGTTGTTCTCTGATATCATAGAAGGTGGGTAATACGTTAGTTATAATAGGAGGTGTGTTATACATAGTAGTTAGTTGTTCTCTGATATCATAGAAGGTGGGTAATACGTTAGTTATAATAGGAGGTGTGTTATACATAGTAGTTAGTTGTTCTCTGATATCATAGAAGGTGGGTAATACGTTAGTTATAATAGGAGGTGTGTTATACATAGTAGTTAGTTGTTCTCTGATATCATAGAAGGTGGGTAATACGTTAGTTATAATAGGAGGTGTGTTATACATAGTAGTTAGTTGTTCTCTGATATCATAGAAGGTGGGTAATACGTTAGTTATAATAGGAGGTGTGTTATACATAGTAGTTAGTTGTTCTCTGATATCATAGAAGGTGGGTAATACGTTAGTTATAATAGGAGGTGTGTTATACATAGTAGTTAGTTGTTCTCTGATATCATAGAAGGTGGGTAATACGTTAGTTATAATAGGAGGTGTGTTATACATAGTAGTTAGTTGTTCTCTGATATCATAGAAGGTGGGTAATACGTTAGTTATAATAGGAGGTGTGTTATACATAGTAGTTAGTTGTTCTCTGATATCATAGAAGGTGGGTAATACGTTAGTTATAATAGGAGGTGTGTTATACATAGTAGTTAGTTGTTCTCTGATATCATAGAAGGTGGGTAATACGTTAGTTATAATAGGAGGTGTGTTATACATAGTAGTTAGTTGTTCTCTGATATCATAGAAGGTGGGTAATACGTTAGTTATAATAGGAGGTGTGTTATACATAGTAGTTAGTTGTTCTCTGATATCATAGAAGGTGGGTAATACGTTAGTTATAATAGGAGGTGTGTTATACATAGTAGTTAGTTGTTCTCTGATATCATAGAAGGTGGGTAATACGTTAGTTATAATAGGAGGTGTGTTATACATAGTAGTTAGTTGTTCTCTGATATCATAGAAGGTGGGTAATACGTTAGTTATAATAGGAGGTGTGTTATACATAGTAGTTAGTTGTTCTCTGATATCATAGAAGGTGGGTAATACGTTAGTTATAATAGGAGGTGTGTTATACATAGTAGTTAGTTGTTCTCTGATATCATAGAAGGTGGGTAATACGTTAGTTATAATAGGAGGTGTGTTATACATAGTAGTTAGTTGTTCTCTGATATCATAGAAGGTGGGTAATACGTTAGTTATAATAGGAGGTGTGTTATACATAGTAGTTAGTTGTTCTCTGATATCATAGAAGGTGGGTAATACGTTAGTTATAATAGGAGGTGTGTTATACATAGTAGTTAGTTGTTCTCTGATATCATAGAAGGTGGGTAATACGTTAGTTATAATAGGAGGTGTGTTATACATAGTAGTTAGTTGTTCTCTGATATCATAGAAGGTGGGTAATACGTTAGTTATAATAGGAGGTGTGTTATACATAGTAGTTAGTTGTTCTCTGATATCATAGAAGGTGGGTAATACGTTAGTTATAATAGGAGGTGTGTTATACATAGTAGTTAGTTGTTCTCTGATATCATAGAAGGTGGGTAATACGTTAGTTATAATAGGAGGTGTGTTATACATAGTAGTTAGTTGTTCTCTGATATCATAGAAGGTGGGTAATACGTTAGTTATAATAGGAGGTGTGTTATACATAGTAGTTAGTTGTTCTCTGATATCATAGAAGGTGGGTAATACGTTAGTTATAATAGGAGGTGTGTTATACATAGTAGTTAGTTGTTCTCTGATATCATAGAAGGTGGGTAATACGTTAGTTATAATAGGAGGTGTGTTATACATAGTAGTTAGTTGTTCTCTGATATCATAGAAGGTGGGTAATACGTTAGTTATAATAGGAGGTGTGTTATACATAGTAGTTAGTTGTTCTCTGATATCATAGAAGGTGGGTAATACGTTAGTTATAATAGGAGGTGTGTTATACATAGTAGTTAGTTGTTCTCTGATATCATAGAAGGTGGGTAATACGTTAGTTATAATAGGAGGTGTGTTATACATAGTAGTTAGTTGTTCTCTGATATCATAGAAGGTGGGCAATACGTTAGTTATAATAGGAGGTGTGTTATACATAGTAGTTAGTTGTTCTCTGATATCATAGAAGGTGGACAATACGTTAGTTATAATAGGAGGTGTGTAATACATAGTTGTTAGTTGTTCTCTGTTAACATAGAAGGTGGGTAATACGTTAGTTATAATAGGAGGTGTGTTATACATAGTAGTAAGTTGTTCTCTGATATCATAGAAGGTGGCCAATACGTTAGTTATAATAGGATGTGTGTTGTACATAGTAGTTAGTTGTTCTCTGATATCATAGAAGGTGGCCAATACGTTAGTTATAATAGGATGTGTGTTTTACATAGTAGTTAGTTGTTCTCTGATATCATAGAAGGTGGCCAATACGTTAGTTATAATAGGATGTGTGTTGTACATAGTAGTTAGTTGTTCTCTGATATCATAGAAGGTGGCCAATACGTTAGTTATAATAGGTGTGTCATGCATAGTAGTTAGTTGTTCTCTGATATCATAGAAGGTGGCAATACGTTAGTTATAATAGGATTTGTGTTGTACATAGTAGTAAGTTGTTCTCTGATATCATAGAAGGTGGCAATACATTAATTATAATAGGAGGTGTGTTTTACATAGCAGTTAGTTGTTCTCTGATATCATAGAAGGTGGGCAATACGTTAGTTATAATTGGTGTGTCATGCATAGTAGTTCTTTGTTCTCCGATACTAAATATAGTGACTTTATTTGTAAGACGGATAACAATGTTCATATTACCAGTTATCCTTGAGACCATTATCAGAAGCCCATATCGCTTTCTTTACTATAACTTACACATGATGCCCTATTATGTACTTTACTGGTGTATTTTCCATGTTTTATCGTTTCTATTCCAATCATACATTTGTTACTATGGTTATTTTTACAGATTGCGAGGAGGAAATCTTTAACCCTTTCTGTCGAGCCCGCAATCTATTACGGAGTATAAAACAGAAATGTCGATGTAAAAATGACTGTAAGTAAAACAACACAACCCCTACACATTTTACTTGCCATCGTTATTTGTCCTATCACTGTTAATTTCTCTCCTGAGATAATTTTCCGTCATAGAAATAGTTTATCTGATATTGCTTTAACATACAAGTAATAATAAATATTTATATCGTGTTTTTCTCAATTACCGGTAACGAGATCTTTTTCCTGAAGTGTGAAAATTATCACGGTTATTGTCTGTTATACTGATTGTTGCCCGTTGTTTTCGTGGTTTGCCGTAAGATCTATATTAAGAGGCCAATGAGGGTTTACTCGACATTTAATCCAGGTGCTACCAGTGGACAACTGGTCTCATGACAAACCATAGAAACACGTGTTATCATCTATATACTACCATATAGAATTATATAGCCTGAACCTAACTTAAATTAATACCATAGAGCACATCTCTACCAATTTCGATGAGACCTTCGAGTTTCCTTGTCATTTCATCGACAAAGTTAAACAAATACAAGATTTGCGTGAAAGATAATCTAAGACTAAAGAGGAAACCCACATTAACGCTTGAAATCGTGCTGTTTTCATCAGTTTTTTGTGATTTTGTAACAACTTGTTCATTACGGATTACTTCTATAACTATAACACTGTTATAACACTGTTATTGTGCCTGTTTTCATTGTTATCGTGTACTTATGTAATTGTTAAGTATGTTGGGAGAAGGATATGATAAGTTCCATTGATTTGTGCCTTAGCCCCTTTCCAAAATGTTTGGGCAATATAATATGTTAAAACTAAACTTGAAGACCCGAATATGGCCTGGGATCGTAACTTACAACCGGTACAAGCTCTGTATAATAAATAATATCGCAGTTTGGATTAATCCCTATTAGTTTCTAAGAATAATAAAACAATTGCCCATTTAGTATTCATTATTTCTAAAATATTTATTAATCCGCATGAACTCCATTTTTCAGTTGACATTGAACTTTGTGATGAATCAGGTAATATCAAATTTCTACGAGACGTTCCGAACAGATATGCAAATGAGATACTGACGGAGAGGGAGACGTTGGTGCTCCTTCGAGTTGATAGTAAGTCTGCACCCAATATTAACACTTAGAGGTATGGGTTGTCTTTTTTAAAGTAATGGAATTAGGTTGAGGAAAGGTTCTTTGGTTTGGGATGTTTTATTTGGGACTAGTGTGTGATCGCCTGTAATGCCTGGAGTATTGCTAACGAACGTCCTAGTTAGAGAAGGCCAGTACGCCACGCTACTACTCATCCTTTGTTATGTTTCAATCAAAGTGCTATATTTGTCTATACTTGTATATCAAAATTATTGTCATCAGAGTGTTTTTGTTTTTTTTTACTACGTCTGCACTTTTCTCACAGAACTTCAAAGTCATTATATAAGAAGCTCCACCATGATACGGAATATTATAAAACAGTGATGTTTTGGGGACATTGTCCCATCATCCTTTATGCGTTGTGATTTCGATGAAGTTCTATAAATATTTGTGATAACTTACAGAAACGACCGAGACCTCCGACACTTATGTACCGCTACTGAACGATGACGAGTCTATTAACGAGGAATTCACAGGTAAGGTTTGTATATATATATTTCAGACAGCTTAAATCTGGTTTTCAAGCCATGAACACATACTTTAACTTTCTTAATGGAAAGTAAAACTCTTCCCGTACACCAAAGCTGTTCAGGATCATGATGAGGGTTAGCACTTCGTGACTATCTCCGTATATATGGAACGTCCGCCAACAGGTCTGTAAAGGTTATGGGAGAGTTTTTACAGAAGAATCAGACTGCAACATTATTAAAACCTTTCTTAAGTTTACAAGTCATGCACGCTTTTATTAAAGATATCTAACTTTCATAACATATGCTATTCTGTAATGAATAATGATGAACGATTTCAAATGTGTCTGTTAATATATGATTACAATACGTAGAGTGACAGGAAATTCTTTAGATCATCATCGAGGCATGATGGGTGTCTTAAGTGTCTGACGATCCGTGCCCCTAACGTCACCTGAGTGTGTCTAAGAAGGACGGAACAGTGGTATGGTGACATACAATGCCTGTTACCGAATTCTGTAGGTGCAGTCACATGTGTTTCCATTACGTTCATCTGTCAAGGTACAAGGTGGTAGACTCTGCTGATTCCGTAGTCCCAGAGGTTTGCCGTCACCATTGTAGCAACAATTTGATATTTAGGGGACGAGTTGTACTTAATTATTGGCATGGCAGACGACATGATAATGCTAGCAAGAATCAACTTTCCTATTCTTAACAAAAAATAAGACGGTTTGGATTTGTTATATTTTTAGATTTGAATGTTTTGAAAGTTTTAAGGGGAAAAGGTAAAAAGAATGTGAACACTAATAAGTTTCTCTTTGTATTATTTTTAGCATTGCGAGCTTTCGAAATGGTCTGTTATCCTTTGACAAGAACAGAGTGCAAATGACCTTTGTCTCTACTCTAATCCGATATTTATTTTAACAAAGTCACACTTTGCCGAGTCAGTAAAGTCAGCTGTCAAAAAATATCGAGAGATTTCGCCAAATAGTCTATGCACTAGATATACAAGTACATAGGAGAAACAAAACACTAAACCAGCCATTATTGACCCTGCTTACACACACAACCGCATCATAGACTGGAACAACTCAAACGTACTGGAAAGGGGGACAACTGGATAGTGAGAAATATTAATGTTAATAATAATAATAATAATATACAACATTTATATAGCGCCCTATATAATTTGTAAAATTACTCTAAAGCGCTTTACAACATATGGATAATAGTAATGGTTATAATTGTGAAAACGAAAAAAAATAACAAAGGCTTACAATCACTTTTATACATTTAAGCAAGCAATGTGCACACAATTGAACAAATAAAAGGGTGGTCTTTACTTAACGTCTTTGCAAAGATTCTAAAATGCAGACGTGAAGAGGTGAGTTTTGATGTCCCTCTTGGACTTTCTGATAACAGATGGTAAGCTATTCCACAACGTAGCCGAAACCCTTCCAAAGCATGTTTCCGTAGGTGACAGTACGATATTTTGGGATACACAACAAAGATTCTGACTCCGACCGCAGTGATCGTGACGGCTGATACAGGGTAACAAGCTCCTGTATGTACTGTGGAGCTGTTCCATTCAGTGCCTTGTATGTGTACACCATAATTTTGTACTGCGACCTGTATCGTACAGGTAACCATGGCCAGTGCAGCGAATAGAGCACAGGTGTGATGTGCTCTCTCTCTTTCGAGTACGAGTAACTATAGCCGTGCTGCAGTGTCCTGGACCCTCTGCAGACACCTAGATATACCACAGAGCAGGGCGTTACCATAATCCAACCGAGAGGTAACAAGTGAATGCACCAAAATCTTGCATGCATCTGCAGTTAAAAACTGCCGAATACAGCCGATGTTCCTGATCTGGTAGTAACAGGATTTTGCAATAGCGTTCACTTGTTTCTCCATGTTCAGTGAACTATCAAAGTATACCCCTAGGTTTTTAACAGCTGGAACAGTCTCAATAGTTCTGGCACCGACCTTGAGCTGGAGAGCCATTGTTTGCTAACACTTTGGGGAAAAGACGATTAGTTCCGTCTTTTCCTGATTAAGCTTAACCATGTTGGCGTTCATCCAGATACTGATATCTGTCAGACAAGCTTCCAGACTTTCTGAGACGGTATTCCAACTGTCCTGTGGTTTGATGACCATGTAAATGTGTGTGTCATCGGCATAGCAATGATAGCGAAGGCTATGGCGACGACAAATATCTCCAATCGGTTTGGAGTACATACAATATTTTCGTGGTCCTAACACCGACCCTTAAGGAACCCCGAAATCTAGTACTTTATCATGTGAGGTGGAAGATCCGATGGCAACACACTGTCGCCGTTCACTCAGGTAAGGCTGTATCCAGCATAGTGCGGTATCAGTCACTCAGTAAGAGTATTCCAGACGTTTATAAAGTATGCCTTGGTCGATGACGTCAAATGCAGCTGACAAGTCCAGCATGACAAGCACAGCTCTGCACTTGTTATCCAATGCAGAAGCTATATCATTATGTACACGTAGGAGGGCCGTCTCAGTAGAGTGTCCCATGCGGTAGGCCGATTGCATGTTGTCATGGAGACTGTTTGCATGGAGATGAACATCTATACGCCGGGACACAACCTTCTCCAAGATCTTAGACAGAAAAGGCAGATGTTTAAAGAATCCATCTGAGAGAGAAGAGGAATCGATAAACAGAGACGAGGGGCCACCATCTGAGTCATCTTTATGACTCCATATGAACCTCCCCAAAGGGTTGGCATGGGTAAACATATTACCTATTATCTAGAGTTGTTTTCCGCGGTTTAGAGTTGATACACCAGCCATTCGCACTCTATATCTTCTTCTTCTTTATATACGAGGGCTCCATCAGTTTGATGATTATGCCATCGGGGGTCCAATTGTAGAGGCGTGAAGGGATTATTTATAGTGATTAGGGGTGGTTTTTTTTTGTGTTTTTGTTTGTGCAAGGTATAGATAAAAAGTTAAAATCTGGTTTATGTACTAGTGTGTGATGAGGGCTTCAAGGGCTGTGTAGGGTAAGTGTGCCTTGAAGTCCTCTAGTGTTGTGCATTGGACTGCTGCTAAGGGGAGGAGATTCCATTGTGTTACTGTGTGTGGGAAGAATGAGTATTTGTAGGGGTCCTTTGTAGCAGATATGTGTTTGTATGCGTACGGGTGTACCTGTCTGGTGCGGGGGTCTACAGGTGTGAGTATATGTGTTGGGTTTAAAGCTACGATTCTGTGTATAAGTTTGTAAAAAAGGATAATTCTAGTGTATAAGCGTCGTGTTTGTAGTGTTGGCCATTGAAGTTTGCCAGAAGTTGGCCATATGTTTTACTAAGGAAACAGACGTTTACGAAAGTTCGCAAAATAAGCATTTACTGTTTGTGTTTTAAACAAACTTAACATTTATAAACAATACTTGTCGTTTTTAGCGCCCCATCTTTTATTTGGTTATAATTTGTGAGAGTTGAACGCATGCGCAGGAAAATGCACAGATGACTTTCCTCATATGTTTTAGCATGTAATCGACACGTCATCTATGTAAGAAGTGTAGACCAAACTCAACATATATCCAAGTCATTTTTGTGTCTCTTTTTGGGTGATTTCATGGTTTTTATATTCTCCTGTAAACTTACCCTACTAGGCTTGCACGGGTTTTTAATCGGCATTTGACTTTAGGTGTAAACAAATCTTGTACTTCGGGGGCAACTCCACTACCCATCATTACTTAACTCTGTCCATCTGTTTGTGCATCCTATGAGTCCTAGGGTCACACTAGGGACGGAGATTATAATCTAGCATCTGTCGTACCCAACGTCTCGTGTCAGTCATCTCACCAGTCTCTAACAACCTCCATTACCACCGTCATTGGTAAGTCATGTCGCCATATCCAGGCTTATCGGCTCGTGCTCTTAAAGCGATAGTACTAATAGTGAACTTCAAAACCCTAGTTTATCCAAACATCTCTCGTATTTCTGTAAATGTCCTTGTGATATGCCCATATTCACTATACCCATAGTAAAGCCTCTCACCACAACCTGTGTCAATATCATCCAACACCTAGGCCTGTTGGCATTAAATGTCAAATACGACCTTCTTACATTGAAGTCATCGGTACAGAAACTTGGCCAAATCCATCGAAACTTCACGCCCAGTTTATAAATCAACACTTGATACAGGCCGTACTTATTTTGTTTAAGACTCTAACTTTTGACAGCAAATTACCCAAACCAAACCTAACTCACCGAAGTAATGCCTCGCATGATGATGTGTTTGCTGAATTTCTAATTACTTAACAACTCCGTTGAATTTCTCTGCACAACAAAAGTGAAATTGGTAAAAGTTTATATCATATCTTATAAATTATATCATATAAATTATTTAACAACACCGTCAGGGACACAAACATGCAGTACCACCGAGGACATTTGGCAAGTGTTCAAAAGAAAATTCCACAAAAAAATAGCTAAGTCAAAAGATGGTTACTCATGTGTTGGCCCGGAGAGTACATAATTTAAGCACATTGTAAAAATCGGGACATACAGACCTCAATTCAAAATTTAAATACCTTAAGCATCAAAAACACACCAGATAATTATATTAGCAACATATTGAGGGAGATGTTATACCTAGTAAAGACAGTGATCTTCCAATGAAACTTATTGACTTGCATCAAACGGCAGAACATAAGGGTGTTGCCCCACTCTGAAAAAAATGGAAAACAATTCACAGGCCCACAAAGAACTTCAATAAACAAGCAATACATCAAATGTTCCATCTCAGAACTGTTCAAGACTTGAACAATCTCGCCCCCATCTGTTACTTTGGAAAGCTTTATAATTCGTCTCTTCCCTGTACACTTACGCTCTTGTCCTGTACATAAAACACCCACCCAACACCGACAGCATCTTCAATATGATAAAGTAGGTCGAGTAACAGGTAGAAGTAGAGAGAAGATAAATTAAGTTTATTTAAACAGTTCGTTACAGATGTATTCATACAATATTATTGTTTGGTATTATAGCCAGGTTAGCCGGAAGGGGCATGTACGACAGTCGACCCGGAAGCAGAAGAGTGAGGTCAAATACACGCAGACAGAAAAACGACAAAAATGGCGACCGAGATCGCTCCAAAGAAAAACTGAAGTCTGCTCGCCCTGAGAAAAGGTCCAAGTCAAGACAGGGAAAATAGACACTCATCGATAGCTAAAGCTGTTTATTAATTGATAATAGTTAAACATGTAGCTATATTTTAAGTCGACTTATTAAGATAGCTATACCTTAATTTGCTATAGGTTTAAATCATGTTATTGGTTTTTTTTAAACAGAGGATTGGAATAAAAAAACCAATTTGTATTTCCAATAGAAGAAAATGCTTCTAACACATAACAAGCACTGATTGTGGCAAAAAAATGTTATATTTGAATTTTGTTTTACATTTTCTACAATTGTGACTGCTGTTTCTTGTGAATAAACTAATGAAATGATGGTTGTATTTGCTATTTTTCTTCAATGGACAGAGTTTCAGTAATTCTCTATGTAGCTTTTAATGTATCACAATGGACAGAGTTTCAGTAATTCTCTATGTAGCTTTTAATGTATCACAATGGACAGATTTTCAGTAATTCTCTATGTAGCTTTTAATGTATCACAATGAACAGAGTTTCAGTAATTCTCTATGTAGCTTTTAATGTATCACAATGGACAGAGTTTCAGTAATTCTCTATGTAGCTTTTAATGTATCCCAATGGACAGATTTTCAGTAATTCTCTATGTAGCTTTTAATGTATCACAATGGACAGAGTTTCAGTAATTCTCTATATGTAGCTTTTAATGTATCACAATGAACAGAGTTTCAGTAATTCTCTATGTAGCTTCTAATGTATCACAATGGACAGAGTTTCAGTAATTCTCTATGTAGCTTTTAATGTATCTTTTTGAAAGTCAGTGGCTTGGAAATGTGGCGCATTGTCTAAAACATTTGACAAATTATATTGTCCACAGTGTCGCTATTATTTCAATGCTTATATCAATTTAAGCAACCCTATACCAGGTTTCTGATTGACCTGTGGACTGTCGAGTTTGTGTATGGACAAGTATACATGTATCTAACATTTTTATGTGATGATTGATTATGTAGGCGAAATTGTATAAATATGTAACAGACTTTATAAGCAACAACATGGGGGTAATGCTGAAAACAAACGACTAATAGGGAAACAAGCCGACAATTGACGGGATATTTTGGCTAACAGAGAGATAATCATCATGGTCTGCCAGAATTGTCTGATAAAAATGTAACAAATGACGTGACGACCGAAGAAGCACAAGAGCCGTGTTTCTTGTATAAGTTGGTATGTAATAAACAGCCAAAAACGTACATTTTTGTTTAGGTATTTAACCAAGTTTGTTAAAATGAATGACCCAGACATATATTCAAGGTCACAGGGGTTAAATATGTTTAAAACCTTTAAACGACTTCTTCTCAATAAGCAAAAGGCCAAGGGTGATGATATTTGGCCATTAACATGCTGGGATAAAGGCAGACTTACAAGTTTGTTCAAATGAATGACCTTCACCCATATTCAAGGTCACAGTGGTCAATAAATTACTTGTTCTGAATAACCAAAGGTCAAGGGTAATGATATTGCAGTGGCCTCTCGATTTTATCCACGTGCTCACGATGAGAAAATTGTTCTCACGACGATCCCTGAAAATACAGTGTGATAATCTATAAATATAAAAACCTTGAATTGTTATTGTTACCAGATTGCCGGTATAGGGTTTCGCCTGTTACCAGATTGCTGGGATAGGGTTTCGCCTAAGTTGTACGTTTACCAAATTACTGGTGAAGGGTTTGGCCTAAGTTGTATGTTTACCAGATTACCGTTATAGGTTTTGGCCTAAGTTGTATGTTTACCAGATTACTGTTATAGGTTTTGGCCTAAGTTGTATGTTTACCAAATTACCTGGAAAGGATTTGGCCTAAGTTGTACGTTTACCAGATTATGGGTAAAGGGTTTGGCCTAAGTTGTACGTTTACCAGATTATGGGTAAAGGGTTTGGCCTAAGTTGTACGTTTACCAGATAACCGTCATAGGGTTTGGCCTAAGTTGTACGTTTGACCATAGTGCTGCTCTCTTGTTTGAACGGATACTCTTTAGCCAAAGTGCTGCCTTTGTTTAAACCCACTATTGTATGTGTTATATAGATAGTTATGAGTTCTTTTTCATTAACAGCCTATACAATTTATAGTGGTAAGTTGTTGTCTCCCGAGTAGTGTGATCCATATATTCCACTATAGTGGTTAACTGTTGTCTCCCGAGTAGTGTGATTCATATATTCCACTATAGTGGTTAACTGCTGTCTCCCGAGTAGTGTGATCCATATAGAGATTTCCACTATAGTGGTTAACTGTTGTCCCCCGAGTAGTGTGACCCATATAGAGATTTCCACTATGGTTAACTGTTGTCCCCCGAGTAGTGTGACCCATATAGAGATTTCCACTATGGTTAACTGTTGTCTCCCGAGTAGTGTGATCCATAGAGAGATTTCCACTATAGTGGTTAACTGTTGTCTCCAGAGTAGTGTGATCCATGTAGAGATTTCCACTATAGTGGTTAACTGTTGTCTCCCGAGTGGTGTGATTCATATATTCCACTATAGTGGTTAACTGCTGTCTCCCGCGTAGTGTGATCCATATAGAGATTTCCACTATAGTGGTGAACTGTTGTCCCCCGAGTAGTGTGACCCATATAGAGATTTCCACTATAGAGGTTAACTGTTGTCCCCCGAGTAGTGTGACCCATACAGAGATTTCCACTATAGTGGTTAACTGTTGTCTCCCGAGTGGTGTGATTCATATATTCCACTATAGTGGTTAACTGCTGTCTACCGAGTAGTGTGATCCATATAGAGATTTCCACTATAGTGGTGAACTGTTGTCCCCCGAGTAGTGTGACCCATATAGAGATTTCCACTATAGAGGTTAACTGTTGTCCCCCGAGTAGTGTGACCCATATAGAGATTTCCACTATAGAGGTTAACTGTTGTCTCCCGAGTAGTGTGACCCATACAGAGATTTCCACTATAGTGGTTAACTGTTGTCTTCCGAGTAGTGTGATCCATATAGAGATTTCCACTATGGTTAACTGTTGTCTCCCGAGTAGTGTGATCCATATAGAGATAGAGATTTCCACTATAGTGGTAAACTGCTGTCTCCCGAGTAGTGTTACCCATATAGAGATTTCCACTATAGTGGTTAACTCTTGTCTCCCGAGTAGTGTGATCCATATAGAGATTTCCACTATAGTGGTAAACTGCTGTCTCCCGAGTAGTGTTACCCATATAGAGATTTCCACTATAGTGGTTAACTCTTGTCTCCCGAGTAGTGTGATCCATATAGAGATTTCCACTATAGTGGTTAACTGTTGTCCCCCGAGAAGTGTGACCCATATAGAGATTTCCACTATAGTGGTAAACTGCTGTCTCCCGAGTAGTGTGACCCATATAGAGATTTCCCCTATAGTGGTTAACTGTTGTCTCCCGAGTAGTGTGATCCATGTAGAGATTTCCACTATAGTGGTTAACTGTTGTCTCCCGAGTAGTATCCATGTAGAGATTTCCACTATAGTGGTTAACTGTTGTCTCCCGAGTAGTATCCATGTAGAGATTTCCACTATAGTGGTTAACTGTTGTCTCCGTTAACTGTTGTCTCCCGAGTAGTGTGACCCATATAGAGATTTCCACTATAGAGGTTAACTGTTGTCCCCCGAGTAGTGTGACCCATACAGAGATTTCCACTATAGTGGTTAACTGTTGTCTCCCGAGTAGTGTGATCCATGTAGAGATTTCCACTATAGTGGTTAACTGTTGTCCCCCGAGTAGTGTGACCCATATAGAGATTTCCACTATAGTGGTTAACTGTTGTCTCCCGAGTAGTGTGATCCATATAGAGATTTCCACTATAGTGGTTAACTGTTGTCTCCCGAGTAGTGCGACCCATACAGAGATGTCCACTATAGTGGTTAACTGTTGTCTCCCGAGTAGTGTGACCCATATAGAGATTTCCACTATAGTGGTTAACTGTTGTCTCCCGAGTAGTG